CCCCCCCCCCCCCAGCATGTGCTTGCAGAGAGACTTAGCACATATGTACCCTTTGTGTGTGAGTGCAGTGTGTGGGTAAAAAAAAAACAGGAAGAAAGGATAATGTAAATCACCAGACTGCTATGTTTGTATGCAAGTAAGTGAATAAGTAGTAGGGCTTGGTTGAGGTGTTAATGAGCTGATAATTAGCTGTACATGTGAGAGAAGGAGTGAGAGACTCGGTAATTACTACTACATTTAAAATTTCTAATTAGCTTTCATCAAAATTGTCCTGTTGTGACCCTGCTACACATTGTTGTAAGAAGCTACAGAGGATGCCAAGATTGGGTGTCTAATTATTTTCCTTATTGTACAGTAAGTGATTTTTTTTGTAAATTTCTTTGTGATATGTCTTTGTCTTTGCTTGTTGGTATTAAATTGGGTCAGACTGCAAGTAGTGCCCTCTGAATAATGCATGAAGAATAAACCATGTCTGTATTTTAACAGATACGGAAACATGGTAGTTGTTTTTTTAGGTAAACTAATTATAACTACAATTACATTTTGTCACCTTATATTCTATATTTTGGCAAAAAACTACTTGTAGGTATGAATTTAATTTAAATCAAATACTTTATAAACAGAAACAAGGCAGTCTGGCATTTTGACCTAGTTTTACTAAGATATAACCATTAAAAAAAAAAAAAAGTTCATAAAAAAAAAATTTGATTTCTGCCATTTGGTGTTACATTCTTTATTTTGAAATCATCAACCATCAGTGTGATTTAGCCCTCATAGACATAAAGAAATTATATTATCAGTGGTGTGTCCTCAAATGAAGAGACTTGAAGATACATTATGAACGCCAGAATAGTGTCAAATAATTATATCTATAAGCCATGTCTGAATAGTTCTTACTTTTCTTTCTTTCTTTCTTTCTTTCTTTCTTTCTTTCTTTCTTTCTTTCTTTTTAAATCTACACCATTATCCCTCCTGTTTGTCCATTTAGAAGCAGATTAAGATGTTTGTGACTGAAGGGGCTTTTCCCATGCAAGCTTCCTCTGACTGCTCTGCTCCACATTGTTCCGGAGCCGGGGTGATATCCGACTTTGTGACTGTTTCCTGATGCTGGACCCTGCCATCTTTCATCAGGGAATGTCTGAATAGTCTAGGGTTACACTGAGGGGGCACCTCCTTCTGGGCCGTGAGAGAGTGTCTGTGTGTGTGTGTGTGTTGAGGGAAAGCTCACTTATGTGTGCACCAGCTCCAGGAGTTTGCCCTGTTCACCCGTTTCAATCAGGACTCTTCTGATCCAGTTTAAACATCCCCCCCCCCTCCCGTACACACACACACACACACACCTCTTCCCCCACCACCTCAACACACTGCCTCTGTCTTCACACAGTCATTACAAAAGATCTCCAATTAAGATCACCTCCAGATGACAAACAGATCCTGTTGAAGCCAGGGCTGTAATTTCACTGCCAACATGATTGGCTTGTTAAAAATTGATGACATTATTTTATAACCTGCCCCTGAACGGGGTGATCATAAAGGCACATCCAGAGAAAGCAATATCTGTGAAAAAACAAAGACATTTCAGGGCTTTTGAATCCCCCCCACAAAAAAAAAGAACTCTGATGGTGCCCCTGGCTGCTTGTATCAATTCAACCCTTTTAGAGCTGATAAAGCAAGACACTTTCCTCTATAGCCTAAATCCTCCTTAGAATATTCTGCCCTTGTGTTCCCTAATTACACCCTATCTGTGGAGCTTCTTTTGCAGATCTGGATTATCATTCAGCCAAATGCCACTTTGTAAATAGATAGTCCGAGGGAGGATAATAATTGCTGGCATTATTACACAAGCATGAAACCTCTTTTTTTTTTATCCCCGAGCACAGTGCATGTGGGCTGATGGACATGATTTCGAGCGTAAAAACGCAACAATTTTATATAATGGGCAATAACGCTGCAAGTGCGCAAAGTGACAAGGTTGAATAGGAGCGGTTCGCAGCCCAATCCAACCAGCCCGTTTTTATTCCGTAGAGAAATGATAAAACAGTGAGCAGTACAAAGGGAAAGTGCTGCCTCTCGACCTGTTTTGTGAGTAACAGAAAACGACACCTACCCCGATGTATTAATGTGGAATCCGTACGGAGAAGTTGGATCGGTGCCGGTCTTGTTTCTCCAGCTGATGCTCCGGCTACATGCAGCCCTGCGGCGGATTCAAACTCTGCGGCGTCTCGGCAGTCGGAGGAGTTTGTTTTCTGGGTCAACTCAGGGATTATATGCATCTATAAAGCACAGAGAGAGGGGGAGAGATAGGGAGAGGAGGAGCTACCGTCCTCTCTGTCTCCTTTGTTGCTATTGGTCCTCCCCCTTAATCACTGTGCAAAGAAACATTCACTAACTACCTCTACTGATCCACCGGAGCAGCAGAGCGCCGCACAGCCGAGCCTGCCCGCCGCGCTGTGCGCATCCTGGAGAGACTCCACCGCCGCCTGCCTTCATTACCCTTGCACTATAATCCGTAACGATCCTCACCCTTAACTGAAACATTTCTGTTTAAAGAGCAGCCAGCACAACACAACTGAGAAAAATCATTTTAACAGGGTTTTTTTTTTATATCTCATTACACTGCGGAGGATCTGTACAGAATAGTATTGAAGGTTATCAGTAATGAATCGTTTTCATTTATTTAATAATAGATGACAAACATTGTCCTTTATATCATAATGTCATTACCTTATACTTTAGGCTTGGCGAGTAATGGATTACATGTGACATGTACATGTAAGGATACAAAAAATCTGGATACAAAAAAAGGAAAACTGAAGAAATATCTAATTAGATTACAGTTACATTCAGTACAATTAATTAGCAGGATTACAATAATTTTTTTTTAAATACACAATAAAATTCTTTCCATTTTCCATGTCATTTTCTTTCCTAAGGTCACATTGTTCTGTTGTCTTGTAGAATACACTTACATCGACACTTCTAATTGACATTGTCTGTTACTGTTACTTGTTACTGACTACATCTTTTGCTTATACAAATCTCAAGTGTATCAATAAACACTCTCTTTGTTTCATGTATTAACGTGAGGAGGGTTACATTATACCTGTGCAAGCCATGGGAGCGATGAGCAGAATGTGTTACGAATCAGTCATGTTAGTTAAATGTCGTTACGTCAGAACTTATTCAGAATCTTTTGCAATGCAATGCAATTTCTAATGTGATACTTCAAAATGCGCATATAAATAACCTGATGGAAATGCGGCTAATATCTGCTCGTGGAGGCATGATGAATGTTTCTATGGTTATGTTTAGGTTTCGATAAAGTCAACCCTGACTTGAAACACAAGATGGGACGTGTTTATGTTTTTACGATTGAACCAGACCAATCTTTCATTAAGCTTAAAGTTGCACATTTTTGGCCTCCTGAGGGAAGCTGAGAACATCAGACATGTCGTTGAGCTGTTATGGTGATGATGGTGAACTATGGCCTTTTCATACATCCAGGTTTATTAGAGGTTTTCTGCTGAATAAAGCTTCCTGCTGTGAGTGAAATCTGTAGGGTGTGAAACCAAAACAATTAGCTAAAAAGCTCCATAAAGCTGAGCGGAGCTGCAGAGTTTGGTCTCTTTGGGTTTGTCACTACAAGCGACTCCTTTCACATTACACATAGTCATTTGATCCATTGTTAAAATAAAATATTGATAAGCACAGCTTTAACCAAAGTGTTTTTGTAGCCTGAGACTGGTTCTCCAAAGATACTTCTCTGCATGGTGTTATGAACATGGGCTACAGAAACTCACAGAGCAGCCAACACACGCACTCTTCCCAAATCCTGTGCAGGGGTCAGTTTAAGTAAATGAGAGATAGACAATTATACAAAAGATCCATATGGGTATAAAAGAAACAGCCTCATTGGCTGGAAAAAAAACAACTGTCAGTGAACATAATCCATGCAGTAATTACATTCCCTTCAAAACATATGAGGCAAAACCACTTAGTAGTATAGAAATGTTATTTTTAGAAGACAGGATTACACAAGCCCACTATGAGCCGAAACCAAAAATATGATGACACATCAGTGTTTCCACCAAATAAAACAAAACATTCAAAGTAACCGAATAGTAACATTGGAGAAACCCAACTTTACCCAGGAAGAAATGTCCTGGTGAATTTTATGGAAATTACAATTTTCGATAGCTGGAGCATACAAAGCATATTTGGACACACCTTTTCATAGGGAAAATAAGACATTTGTTTTATGCAAGAAATCCTACAAAAAGTATGAAATCACAGGAGTCAATTCAGTGTTTGTGATTTATTTATTTATCAGCTTTGACCTCATTTGCATTGGTCAAAAGTACAATATACAATTTCGCTTAGTGTAATCGCTATAGTACTCTCACTGAAACATGATACCTTGTTCTTTGCAGCATGATAGAAAACCACCTCCATCCAGCTCCAGAGCGAGCACACACCAGCCAGTCCTTTTGTTTTGGCCTCCCTCCCCGTGTGGAGAAAGTCAAGCCCCCTCAGCAGGAGCCTGGTATGTATTCCTGTTGACATACACACACACCCTCTGCTGCAGAGGAATGTGTCCTATTTTGGGGGCCCCTAAAGTCAGCCAGACTTCCAGTCTTTCTTTCTAATGCTTGATTCACTTGACCATTGTGTTTTTTTTTCTGTTGGGAGGACACTGTGTGTTTTGATCTGCAGTCTCCATTTATTTAGAAGGAGCCGTTGTTCTCAGCAGTGATGAGTACATTGCTTGAGTCT